GAGTGAGCATTAAGCTCTTCCCAGCAGCCAGGAGATCCACCCAGTTCATTGTAGAGAAGCCTTCTTGCAAACTGGGGGGTGGCTTCCAGATGCCTTGGACTACAACTCTTGCCAGTACAGCTAGTTGCCATAGTGACTGGAGATGGTGGAAGATGTAATCCAACACATCTGTCCTAGGCTGTGAACAACATGAAGAATTTGAAACCACCTTTAACATATTTCTGGATTTGGTATGGTAAAAGAAGCAACAGGTTTCACAATGATGTTTAATTACCCTTTATAAAAAGAGCCAGATGGTAATTTCCATTGTGGTTGGATCCCTGGTGCAATATGGCCCATCTCCAAATTGAATTCATTTATGGCCTTTCACCTACATCTTCAGTGGTACTGGGACAATTTGCTTTCATTCTTTTTGTACAACATGTTGTCCTACCCAACTGTGGGTCAATGGGTGGAGGAAGAAGAGTCCTCTAATCCTTCACTTACCTGAACAAAAGTATTAACATGATTTAGTACTGAATCACCCAATGCCCTTCCCAAATCTGAGATTAGTTTACTTCTTGCAGCAAGTCACTGTGAGGAAAAAAATATTCACTGTATTTCTTAAATTGTACTTATAGACTATAAACTCTATTTCTACAAAAGACTTCATTCAAAAAGGACAAGCCAGCCCCAAATTCCTTCTATTCATTTATTATATATAATAGTAATAAACTACCAAAAATGTTGCTTAAGGCTATCTTCACTTTACTATTCAGTTAACACTGAAGTCTAAACAGTTTGGAAAGCAAGTCCCAGTGTAGAAGTTACTGTAAAAGGAACATATAGTTTGATTATTCTATGCAAGCTATTTTCCATACAGCCAGTAACAGGAATCTGCTTTCCCACTTCTTTCCCCTATCAACTTCAGGCACATAAATTAAGAACCTGGGAGTTTCATCTATGAAGACAGACTACCAAGTCTGTCCTCCAACCTATTATACAGAAATACTAAGGAACAGTTCTGGAAGGACAATGAAACATTGGCAAACAGTTTGGACAGCTTAAGAACCCAAACAGTTCTCATTTATATCTTGCCTTTTTTCATTAAAAAAAAAAAAAAACCTCAAGACAACCTGCATAATCCTCTTCCTACTCTCAATCTTATCTGCACAACAACAACCCTGTGAGGTAGGTTGACACCCAGTTGGCGCCATGGCCGAGTGCAACCAACATGTTTCTCCTGGCATCTCTATGCCCATTTAGGGCTCAAGTGTATGTGCTTGTTTTTCCATTATGACTTACTCAGAAAGGAGATTTCTTTTTAACTTCCTGACTTCCAGTAAAATAGTTGCAGACAGATAACTTTTTACACAACTATCTTATATTACTGGTGGAATATCATGCCACTACTATTAACTCCTACCAAGAATAAAATATGTACCCAAACATATAACTTAGCTTGTTAACTCACAATATCGCAAAGGGTATTAATTACTATGATGCATACTATGGTTCTCCCATCACTAGAAGGTAACACATGAATGTGAAGGTCTTTTAATCTATGGGTATTTTAGAAAATTTTAGAAAGTTCTGCAGCAGTTTCATTTAACAGTTGTGGGGAAAAAGAAATCCTTTGGCTCCAAAGCAGAGATGAAGTAGTATACGAAGCATATATTCTGTGCTTCATCTTGCAGTACCTGATTCAGGCCCAGCATCTCAGGAAGCATCCCACCCTCTCTGATGTTTACCCACTACCCCTAGCTTTTGTGCCAATGTTGCAGAGTGTAAGTGATTGTCACACTTAAGATCAAGGAGTCTTTTCTCCAGGTCAGAATAAGGTTTGCCTTTGCCTGCAACTTCTAGTTTAACTCTTGAAGTTATCTTCTTGTGGCACATCACTGTTTACATTATGCAGCCTGGCTTAGTGAGTGGATGTGCCCAAAACCAGGCAGAGGCCTGGGCTAGATGACCACTGCAGCTGCTCTTCCAATATTCTTATTCAGATGTATCACCAAATCTGTCCTTTTAACAGCAGAACACATTTACATGTACATCAAGGAGAGAGAAGATATACTAAAAGGGTTTTCCCCTGACCTGGAAAGATATCTTGGTTCACAGAGTGCTTAAAATAGTGAGCAAACAGTGAACACTTGCTAGTAAGCTGTTTGGCAATAAGTAACCACAATGACAATGTTTTACAGTAAGTCTGAGCAATGTCAAATTAATAACATTTAGATCTAGTACTTATAAATGGATACCTTCACATATACACCCAAGTAGCAGTGATTTCTTAGGCTACTCCTTGCAGCCAAATGGGTCCTACAAGAAGTCATTTCTGTTTTTCTATGTCTGTAAGAGTTGCTTGCATTTCCCTTGTGAAAGCGGGGCCCTTTGTGGAGTTCCAGAAGTCTGACAAAGATCTATTAACATATGATTACATCCTATATACATACATCCCCCATGCACCTGTTGTTCTAACATTTGCAAGGGTCCCACATCTAGAAGGTGTTTCTGGTTCCCTGTAGGATAATGGCAGTGCATCATACGAGGGTTGACTTTTACAGCTTAGGAGTTTTGTTTAGCAGACAATGAATGATCACAAGGCCATGATCAGATTAACCCTTTTGATGACTATAAAGTTGCCTGAAGAGCTGGCCTAGGAGGCAGAACTTAAATGAAGATGAAACCTTTACAGGTCCTCAGATCAGAAGCCAAGTATTGTTGCCAAAAACTGTTCAAGCTATTACAGTCACACCCTTTCACAAAAAAGTTAAAAAATCCATGGGAAATTTGTCACTTATTTCAATTAAGCATGCTTTATGACTCAGGCTGCACTCCTAAGCATAGTTGGAACATGAACAGCTGCATTAGACCAGGTCAAAGTATTTGTCCATCGGTCTCTGACTAGCAGAGATGCTCCTGGATTTTAGGCTGAACTCCTGGATTTTATTTTCTATCTCTTGATCCTTTTAACTGACGATACCTGGGATGAAAGCTAAGGCCTTCTGTAGTCTATGCAAATAAGCCCATTGCACAGAACAGTTCCAACCCCTTCATCGGGCCAACCAAAACGTGCAAGCTTCTGAGATCTCTTCACCAGGGAAAGTGCTATAAAAAGATGGGCATCGTGGATAAGGAAATACATCAATGGGACTTCCCCAATAAGGCAGCCCCCCCCCCCAACTCTGCCATCATCTCCCTCATACTGGCTTCTTTCCTGATGAAGAGATCTCAAAACATGGACATTTTGTATCATCGTTTCTTCGGCCTCATGAAAGGTACTACACTAAAATGGCTTTTGGGATTTTATTCGTGGCCAACACAGCTACCTTTGCACCGCACAAAATGGCACTTGATTCTGAATCCACACGCAACGGGCTTCACCGGTCCACACAGCCCAGAAAGGGCTCGGACTGTCCCTTGCAACGTGGCCAACCGCGAGTCCTCGGGGAAAGCGACGCAAGCCCCCAGACAGCAGAGCGGGCTCGGCTTTGCGCCCAGGGATCTTCCGACGGGGCGCTCACGACACCCGCAGCCGGGCGCGGGCGAGCCCTGGCTCGGGTGCTCCTTGGAAAGCGACGGCGAGCGCTGCCTGCCACCTGCGCCGCCCAGCTGCGCCCCAGAGAGCACGGGAGCCTCACCCTTTCCCCGCACGGACTCCCTGCCCTCCGCATGCCGCCACCTGTCCCTCTGCGGAACAGCCGGTCTTTTCCTCTCACTTCTGAAGCGCCCCTGGAGGAAATGCAAGGCAAGGGCCGCGCAGGCAGCGACCGGCCGATTGCTGCCGGCGCCCCTCAGGTGCTGCCGAAGCGCTCCGCTTAGAGAGGCAGCCTCGCTTCGCCTACGCCAGCGCATCACAAAGAGGCCATTAGCGCAAACGGGCGGGCAAATCTGCCTCGCCGGCAAAAGCCCCTTTTGAGGCTCCGTCTAATGAAAATAATCGCTTCTCACACGAGGCGTAACTTCCAGAGGCAGAACTTGCCGAGTAATCTGCGGACTGTGGGAAGCAGGTGTGCTTTGCTTCACTGCCGGCAAAAAAGAACATCGCCCAAGAAGGATTATGAAGTTTAAGCGCATGCAAGTCCTTCTTGGGCTTCTCCTCGACATCTGTCCCTTTCGATTTCCTTCTTGCGTAGTGCAGCAGGTTCAGCAACAGACATTTAACCCCCTCTAGCCGTGCGAGATCGTGTCAAAACAAGCAGGAGAAAACGGTTTCCGTCCAGTCTCCCTCAGCGCAGGGTCGGGACTTTAAGCAACGCAGAACTTCTCCTTAATCAATCGATTCTACATTAAGGCCAAATAACTCCGAACAGCACGCCCGCCCCCAGCCTAACCAAAGGAGAACCGCGCCGTCTCTAAACGATGAAGCCTTGCACAGACGTGTTACGCTTCTGCTGTTTCATAGACACGCGGCAGCTGCACGCGCGCGCTGCGTGGAAAGTAGACACATGCTAAAGTCTCGCTCCGGATTTTAAATAGGGCATTCGCCTGCGAGCGCTCGAAGCCAGCAGCGCTGGATCCTAAACACGCTCGTAGGAACTGCGAAGAGTCCCTGCCTGCTGCTCCACGGCTCAGCGCGGCAGCTCCAGGCGGGCATTGCTCGCAGGCGAGAGGGCCGATCGCAGAGGCGCGCAGACGCCCGCAAGACGCGCCGGGCTGAGCGACGGCTCGAGAAGCGGCACTGCCGCGGCGGTTGCCCGGGCACCTTGCCGCGGCGCGGCCCGAGGGGGCAGCCCCAAGGGCCGAGCGACGGCTTCCCTGCCTGCCGCGCGCTCGCCCCGCGCCTCGGCGATCCCGCTTCCGCGCCAGCTCCTCCAGCAGCGGCGCCCCGACGTCAGCCCTGCTGGGAGCCCTCGCCGTCCCGCTGCCCGCACTCTGCAGACCCCTGCAGCATGTCGGGGCGCGTGCGCCGAGGCCGGCGAAGCCGATCCGGCCACCCCGCGCTTCGAGGGCGCGCTTGCGAGCCGGGGGCGCGCTGCCGCGTGGGGCAAGGCGCGGAGACGCCCGGTGCCACTTACTTCTCATCCACATGCAGGCTGGGCGAGCACTTGATGGCGAGCCACGTTTTCCAGTGTATGTGGCGGACTTTGTAAACCTGCCCGAAGCCCCCGGAGCCGATCTTCTCCCAGCTCACGAACTCGCTGGACTCGAAGGTTTTCAGCAGCCCCATGGCTAACGAGGAGCGACCCCCCTTCTCCATGGGGCCCCTGGAGAGCCTCCGCAGCTGACAGCCTGGCTCACTCCCTCGCACGCTATCCCGAGCCACTGAACCGCCTGGCCGGGCGGGCTGAGCTCTGCCTCCTGCCCAGGTGACTCAAGGTGTACTCATTCCCCAGGGGCCATTACATCACTTCCTGGGTTCGCTGCTCGCCGTCTGTCGGCAGCTGTAATCCGAGCAGTGCCCATCGGAGAGGGGAATTGCAAAGGAGGGGAGTTGTTCTAACAGGACAGCTGTTGCAAAACTGCGCTGGCAGAAAAGGAAGCTTTCCCAGTGAAAGGCGGAGACGGGCATGTTCAGGTCCTGTTGCCTCTGGTGCAGCTCACGTTGTCTCGGAGGAAGCCCCACGGATCTCTGTGGGGCTGAAGAGACCTGGCTAGGGTTGCCGTTATTGAGTGCCACCGACAGCCAAAGCTCCTGGCCAGTTAACAAAACAGACTTAAAACCGCAGTTTAAAGAGCGGGGCAGAGTATAATCTGAGAACCTTAGATGGAAATTGGAATGAAACCGCAGTAAAGGCTGGCAGCTTGCAGAATTCCCGTTGCTTACATTTAAAATGGGTAGCCACCTCCTGATACACTTTTACCAAGAAATAACTAGTAAGGGCACTGTCCTAAGTGTGTCCTTTGCTGGCTGGACAATGCTGGGAGTTGTAGTACTTCCTTCTGTCTAAACCTGCCATTGCCTCCTATGTTGGCAATGTGAAGGCTTCCACGGTTTTTGTACTCCTGCTGTCTGCTTTGAATGGGGCCTGTGTATTCTGACACTCCATAGTACTGGAAGAAAGATAACACATGCTTTGCTCTTCCACAGACTCCTCCAAGAAGTCTTATAGCATCAAGCCTCACCTAACAGTGGGCCTAATTTTTCCATTTCACCCTAACCTATTAGAAACCGCAGGCTTTCCCTCAAGCTTAGCACCATCTCTTTCCCTTCTCTCGATTGATTGATTGGTCTTTCTTTGGCTTAGCATCCTGCCTAATGAAGATTTCTGAGTCAAGGCGTAATGCTAGAAATTCAGGTGATGCTATCAACATAAGACAAGAGCAGCCAGGCTGTCCGCTGGTGCATGCCAGCACGTGCCTGCAAAATCTCCTTCCATTTACATAGGGAGATTCTCCACATAAGAGAATAAACGGGCACAACTCAGACACTAAAAACACTTAGAAACCAGTGTGGAAGTATTTCCCTCTCTTTACTTGTAATACAAAGGAGACTTCATGATCTGCATTTGTAGACCTGACACTAACAGGCTTGGGTTCAATAGCAACTGGGAAATGTTTAAGGACTACTTCACCACAAAAAGCAATTGTTCAGGTGCTTCCACAGAATGAGACTTCCGAAGACATTGTGAAGCTAATCTTTTTGTCTTTAATGGATTTCTCTCTCTCTCTCTCTCTCTCTCTCTCTCTCTCTCTCTCTCTCTCTCTCTC